CTCTCTCTCTCTCTCTCTCTCTCTCTCTCTCTCTCTCTCTCTCTCTCTCTCTTGCTCGCTCGCTCTCTCGCTCTCTCTCTCGCTCTCTCTCTCTCTCCCCCTATCCCTCCCGTTGGCGCATTCCGACGTTCAGGGTCCATAGGTCCCTCTGAATCGGACCAGTGGCCCGGACTTCCTGAGATGGGTAGTGAGGGGGGACCGACTTCCCTTCTCATGTGTCTTTCTGTTTTCAATTTTTTTTTTCTGTTCTGTCTTCTCACAGGCCGTTCCCATCTATGTTAGCGATTCAAAAGCGGGCGGGATTGATATTTGTTGCTACAGTTCGCTTCTATCTGTGCAGTCTTTTCATACCCCCGCGCCCGATGCTCCTGAGAACTCCTGCGAGAGCCGGTCACCAGGCATTGTCGTCACACCATCGAAACATGGGCATCGTGCACACCGTGTTGCTGGTATGCTGGGACGCAAATTCAGAGACCGGGTTGTGCCATCTGCCAATGTCAACGTATTGCGGCGTCTTCGTCTTGACGATATCATCAACGACGTCGGCGTCTTGCCTTCTGCTGACGGCGCAGGACCGGCGTGTGGGTCTCCTGATCCTTCGCTTCGGGGTCATTCGCCGCCGGCAACTCGCACTGATGATCGTAATGTCCCGGTGGGCATGCTTTCGTTGCCGTCGTGCGAAGGCAGTGAAGGGGGAGGCGGTCGTGCTACTCGTTCGTCGGACGTCGACTTGCCAGTCGGAGAAGACACCGCGATATCTGCCTTGTCTATGTTGTGCGGTGAAAAAGGAAAGAGAAAATACATATACAGACTCGGAAAAAGAAGTTCTTCAACATCCACCTCCACTTTCGAACGTAGATGTAGCGTCCAAGAGTGCGAGGCCGTCCTCTGCAAAACAGGTTGCAAGACGTTTCGCTGTCTTTCTAAACTTAGAGTGCAGGACGTTATGAAATGTAGACGTGACTACCGTGTTCTCAGAGTGCAGGAAAGACGGAAGTGGTGGATGGCGAAACTACAGAATTTTATTTTGTTAGTTGACCATAAGCCCACATTCAAACCGATAGTGTAATCGCACCCTGTCTGCGTCACTGCATGGTGTCTCATACTCAGCGTCGGTAGGAACACATACAAAAAATACATCGATGACCTTGATGACGGAACCGTCGACGCTGTTCATGGCCATGAAGGTCGTCTGCGGACAACGGCGACCTACGTCATTATATGGTCTGCGTTCGAGGACATCATCTTGGACGAGTCTGATCCCGTGCCAGATCAGACTGAGACAGACCCGAACTTCGAGATAAGAAACCGCATTCGTCTCCCGTCGGTGTTCGCCACAAAAAAAGACGTCTTCCTCAGTATTCGTAGATGACTCTCTTAGCTCGGAGTCTGTTGCTCGTCGTACCAGGTCTTCTGCAAGATGTGGAGGGACTTCTTCTGGCATGTTCGTCTCGCAAGGGTGACCGACCACGCGAGATGCAACGAGTGCATTAAGAATAGCATCCTCATAGAGGGTGCTCTGCCCGAGGCGAGAAGGGCGTTTGTTGCAAAACAGAAAAGTCATCTTCCGCTACAGTCAGCACACCGGAAACAGTACAGTGTGTGGTCCGCTGATTCAGAGCTCAGGCCTAAAGAGAGTCTGTGTATCATCATCGATGGAATGGATCAAGCGAAAACAACGATACCTCACGCATCGAGAAGGCGTTTGTCAAAAGAAATGTCGAATAACAAGATGATGAAGACAAATCTTACTGGGATATTCGCGCACGGTAGGACACCATCACTCATTGTCCACACGTGGTTCCCGTTCCTTTCGCACAGCTCGAACTCGGTTGTCACCTCGATCGCCAAAGTGTTGAGAGATGTTCAGGCACGCGAGGGGGCGCTCCCGCCGAAGTTGCGGGTGCAGGCCGACAACTGTGGGGGACAAAACAAAAACAAGTATGTGTTCGCCTTCATGGCCATGCTAGTCAAATTTCGTATATTCGAGGTCGTCGAAATGGGGTTCATGATAGTGGGTCACACACACACGGACATAGATGCGAAGTTCAACTTGTTTGCAAAAACGTTGAGCGGTTGCGATGCGTATACCATGGATGAGCTCTTCGATGTCCTCAAAGAGTCATGCGAAGAGGAAGTCGATTGCACATTGCTCACTGAAATTGCTGACTGGAAAACCGCCATAGATCCATACATCGACCATAAAATCAAGGGTCATGCCACGCCACACCTCTTCCGATTTTACATGGATGGGGACAACCCCGCCATGGTGTACAAGGAGTTCTGCAATGACAAAAAGTGGGAGGTGGACACTGGCCCTGTGTATTGGTTTGTAAGGGACGCAAACAACGGGTGAGCAGGGCCTCAATGGGATTTCCAACCTTGCCGTGAGTTGCCTAATCCACTGGCAGGCGATTTCGTTAACGGGATGGCGGGGGTACGTGTTCTTCATAAATCGTGGGAGAATACACAAAATCAATGGGTGACACAAGACGAACACACAAGGGCAATGAAACGTAGACGCTTGAGCTATTGTACCGACCATCTCAAGAAGTTTGAAAACATATCGCAAGAGAAGAGCGGCACGGTGCCCCTTCAAGGTGCCTTCTGGCCAGCCCCCATGCCCGATAAACAAGATCTCCCGTTACGTGCGCCGCATGTTCTCGGCTTGCCACCGAGGAAACCTTGCTTCGTTAGTTACAAAAAATACGCTCCCAAGTCGGAGTTCAAACCGCACGAGTCTGTCGCCGTGAACAACTTCGTCGTCTTCCGCGCGCCCGATGAGTATGTTGCAAAGGGCTGCACATTCTGGATTGGACGAGTTCATGAGCGGGACGATAACCGCATCCGTGTCAAGTACTGGACTCCTTGCGGAAGGGAGCGCGATTTGACAAAGCTGTATGCGGGCGCATGGGAAAAATCATGGAAGGTCGAAACTGAAACAAACGWCGGGTGGCAARACCTCGACGCCGTTGTGTKGGCATGGTCSAGCAATAAACGTTCTGAAACGGGTATGCGGATCCCGAAACGAGAAGCTCTGAATGCACAGTTGTCGTTGGCTGTCCCTGACAAGACGCCTTCATCAACGCACGATATGGGATCTGGTTTAGACCCATCTGTGTAGTCGTGACGTGTGACATGCGTAATGAAGATCATCTTTTAAGCACGAACAAATTAGTTCACATCGCTAATTGCTCCATTGGATTGCGTTTTTTCTCCTTCGTTCATTGTGTTTAGAATGTTTGCATCGTCGGAGCGGAAGCGCAACGAGAAATGGGGGACACCTGTGCGCTGGCAGGAACTCATCTCATGGAAAACAAGAACGCAAATGAGAGCTGCCGGTATAGACTGCACCGACTGGTGCGCATCTTGGCCCTCGATTGAGTTGTGGTACGACGAGATGCGAGATGGAGTTTACAAGCTCGCCAAGACGATAGTGCTGGATGCGAACTTCGGAAGCCACGACTCCGGCAAATGGACTGAAGTGTTCTACAGATTGGGGTTTGTTCACATGTGGGGCAGGGGGGGTGAGCATCATGGATCGGTAACGTGCGTGGCATTCTGTCCAGACGGTGGTCTGACACGGTGCGCAACACGGATTGAACGAACGAAGGTGTCGTCGACGTTCGAAAACAGCAACTACAGGAGGGCGACGCTGAAGCTTGTCAGATGTTTATTCAACGAGATCAAAGATGCAATGTTGCGTGTCATCAATGAAAGGTCGAGGATCGCCATTCACGTGGCGACGCCTGTGATAACATGCTGCAACGAAGAGGGTAAAACGAAAAAACTTAAAAAAACTAACATAGTCACTAAGTTCAATATCGTCGATCATATTCATTGGCGTGAAAGTGGCAAATGGAACAACCTGCAATCCGTCTTGCGTGCTTATCCGCATTGACCGACGTTCATCTGTGCTTTTGATGTATGTGTTTCTTTTTTTTTTTCTCTCTTTATCCTTTTCTTATTGGTCCGTGCAGTATGGACCCGGAATGGATGCAGAGATAGTTAAGACAAGATTGGTGGGGAACGCCAATCAAATGGGGAGAATTGATATCAGATCGGCTGAGGAGACAGCGTAACATCGTCGGACTTGTCACTTGAGATTTCGCATATTACGAACCATCACTGCACTTATATCCTCTAAGCGCGAGAAGAAAGATTTACAACCTCGTGGGGGTGTGCGACCGTCAGAAAAATAATAATTACAAGAAGAACGGGAACGCAAGATACAAGGAGGTATTCTACGGTTACGGCCTTCTGGCTGCCCCAGTGACAGAGAAATGCAGCGCCACCATTGCATGTGTTGCTGTTCAATACCACGAAGGGCTTACAATATGTGCAACGAAGACATGGAGACAAAAGATCCCGCGGAGTGATGCAGGAAACTCGATGGTGCGAGCGTACAAGCAGCACGTTAAACAATATTGTATTCACGCACGGGATGCGATGTTAGAATTCGTTGCTCGAAGGACTGCCATCACTGCTTCTATCTCAACAGTCATCATAGAGAACGAAGAAACAACGGGGGTCAACCACAAATTCAAAAAAAACAAGTTAACCACCAACTTCAACATTGCAAAGAGTGTACTCCGGCGAGCTAACGGTCTAAGCAACGACCTTGTTCACTTGCGCCGCTGTAGCACTTCCGGACATTTTGTTGTAAAAAAGTTGTAGCTTAGCACTGTTGACGGAGATGGCAATAGACTAGATCATGCGCTCGTACGAGTGCTCATATCGTTTTTTTTTGTCATGTGTCGGATTTTAGGGTTTTTTTTTTTTCAAAATTATATCGAAGTGGATTTCCACTTTTGGTACGATCATGTATGACTGCACATCAGCAGTAGTGTGGAGGAGTGTATGAAG